AGTAAAATATTAATAGTTTGAAGTGAAATTTTGTTTTTACATTAAAAATATAAAAATCCATCCGTCTTAATATTTCTGTTTTGTATTTAAATATCCATATCCATTATCCTAGAAAAACATTAATAACTCGCAAAGTTGACTGTGGGGTCTATTCTGTAACACATCCGTTAAAATTTAGAGGCCTCTAATAATTTTAGCGGCCCGTTGATTTTTTTAACCAGAAATCGTATTCTGTATACACAAATTTTAGAGGCCTGTTACAAATTATTTATTTTAACGGATTGCCTTAAAAATGACAGAAGAACACTTGACAACATCGCATTTAAGAATCATTTGAACTAATTAGATTAGAAGAATAAATTTTCAATTCAAAACCAAAACATACCAACATATATTTAAAAAAAAAATGTCTTGCGCACCAAGAACTACTAATAACCAAAAACAGTTAATGATAAACTTTTTAGAACAGCAAAACTTGCTTCACGGTGGGAAAATAAACCCAATAGATACAACGAAATTAGCTCTATAATATTAACTATAAATGTACCTACATTGTACATGTTTTGTACCTTTCTTCACTTTCCATTAACTCTGCAATCAAAATTGCTCCAATTAGGTCATAAAACGCCATTATCAGTTCCGTTAAACATTAAAGGTGAATTTTAACATCCCTTTAGAATTAATTGTTATTTTAAAGGAATCCGTTTAAATAAAACAGAAGTAAGTTAGTGAATACGAAAATATTTTTAAAGGCCTCCAACATTTTAACGGCCGTTAAAATATAAAGGAATAGATCCCTGTGTCTGATTTGAGAAATGAGAAATATCGTGGAAACAATAATTAAGAATATAAAGTGGTGCATCAGTGATGAAGTAAAAAATGAGCTAGAGTTGTTTATAAATTAAATATCTAGTTTCTGAACATTTTTGTTTTTGAAGAATGGAAAGAATTATGGTTAAATATCCCTAAAATAAAGGATGCATTTGGAAATGTAAAAATGAAAACCCCAATTCGCCCTACGAAATTATTTTTCCTAATGTATATTCTTTCTAACGTATTTATTTTGTACTTATCATTTTTCTTTTCAATTCATCTTTACATTTCCTTAGTTAAGTTCAATTCCTCTTCTCATTTTATTAATTTTTTCATTTTCTCATTATTCATTATACTTTCTTGAATTTCATTCTACATCATTATTCTCTTTATACCGTATTATTCATGAATAATCACTATACCCCATTAATAAACTTTTTTTATACAGCACTATATATTAAGTAGGTATACTGCATTATATTATTGTTCCGCATTATTTATTGTATTGCATTATTCTATTTTTCCGCATATTTATTATACCGCATCATTCATATATTCTCCTTCATTTTATCCCATTAATTAATATTCTTTTTTCATAAAAATTTCTTCTTTATTTTACACTTCTTGTGCACAAAATCTGTACTTTCTAAATCATTATAATCATTGTATTCACTTTATCACTCTTACATGTAAGTAATATTTACCTAATATATAACTCGATATCAAAATTCAACTCCCAAGAACTTGTTCCAAATGTATTCCAAAATCCAACATTATTTAAATTTTTATATCTTTTCATTATTATAATTATTATAATTATAATGTAAATAAAATTAATTTGTAAAACTAGACGTGAGCATATTATCCTTACTATATGATATTGAACTAAGATAAAATTTAATCGAAGTGGTTTGGCGAATGGACTCAGTTCCCGCAGTCAAAAATTCAAATTAAAAAAAAAAAAATATATCTTTTCATTCACTTTTGTTCTAACTCTCTCCTTTTCAGTCAATTCCCGATTGTTAGTTTTATTTTATACTCGTTTTTATTTTTCTTTTCATCCTATGTCTATTTTAATTTTATCCTAATTTTATTTTTTCCTTTAAATACTCAATTTTTGTTTTTATTTTATTTATTCCATTCACACTTATTTCTCTTTTAATATTTTTAAACTGCATTTCTTCATAAACTTCTTTTTCTTAAATTTCTATTTTTAGTTTTTCTAGTTTTATGTTCCTATATTTTTCTTGTATGTTTATTTCTTCTTATGTTAATTCTTCCTTTATTTTCTCCACCTTCTCTCCGGTCTCATTTAGCTTCTTGGCGTTCTTATCTAACTTCTTTCCCATTTCATCCATTTTTCTTATAATTTCTTCTTTATAATGTTTCCTTTTTGTTCTCATTTTTCCTTTAAGTTCTTTCCTATTTATTCTCATTTAACTTTTTCCATTCTCATCATTAATATCTAAAACATGTCCAAATAATAATCATCCTGTATAATTTCACTTTCAGAAAACTACTGCTTTTTTTAAGAAATAAAGTTAGCCTTAGGCATTTAACCATTATTATTTTAAATTATCGTCCATCGGAAATAAAAAAAGGATATTTAGCTTTCCACCCTGTTCTTGTTTTAAAATACTATTATAATAAACAGCCAGGAATACAGCAGGTACTAGGAATGTTTATTAAAGTTATTATCCACCTTATAACGGGTCAACAACGGGCCACCAGACACTTAACACTTATTTTAATTAAATGATTAAAAGTTAGGCTAAAAACACCACGAGAAGATATCCAAGGCCGCCATTACCAAGAGCTACAGGTGTAACGACAAAAAATACTATCTCGGTAAGATTACAGTTTATCACAAAGAAAAATTCACAATCTTTCGGGTCTATATTAATACACATTATTAACAACTAATTTTAGTTTCACTTAATTTGAACACTTTTCGAGAAAAAATCGCTGTCAAAATAACCCGTTACGCTTTAAAAGTATAATAAAAGTACAATTTGAGAACACGAGACCGATGAAAATGACCGCAACAGGCATCAAACATGGCTCCATACACTGTGTTAAAAGTGCTGTCGCGGTTTCTTGCTTCGGTCGCTATCTCTCAAATGAGCTTCATCTAATTACATGTGATTCAGACATAAAGAGATGCATTTTGCTCGCCTTTCATGGATGGACCCTCTATGAATATTTTGGACTGTCTGTCTAAGTCCTAGAAGTTCCAACCAGAGCCTATGATGTTCTCTATTTATTTGTTTTGTTAGCACCATTTAACATGTTTGGCCCTTTCTGATATTTGAATATCGAAAGGATTCCTAAAGTCATGAATAATAGGCGTTCTATTCGATGGCATTCTTAAAACCGGATTTTGTTTTAATTTGTCTAATATCATTGTATGGGGTTCTTTTCTCAAAAGTTCCAAATCCATTAGTAAACAGCCTGTATGCCGCCGACATTGCCTTCTCCACCACAAGGTGTATGGAGGAAGACCTAGCAGTAGCTCCATTCGTGCAGTGGACGTAGTTCTAAATGCTCCTGTTGTTATTATTAGACAGGCCAATCTTGTACTTTGTCTAATTGTCTGTTAGCTCTTATGCTTTTACTCTTGTGCCACCATATGACTGAGGAGTAAGTTATAACAGGTACTACAACCACAGTATAAAGCCAGTGCGTTATACTTGGTTTAAGCCCCCATGTGTTCCCTACCATCCGTCTACTGTCCCATAGTATTCTTACAGCTTTTTCTGTTGTTTTTTCTATATGGCTGCAGTGATTTCAAGATAGTTAACATTTTTTGCCATTTTTAGATATTGTCCCCACATATAAAACTCCTTCATTCCCTGAATGCAACAATAGAAAATTTCGGCGGGTTTATGGACCATCCCTCTCTTAGGCACCATCTTTCGACGATATTTAGTGCCTGCTTCAACCTTTCGAAAGCAACACCCCAAATTTACCGTTTACTACGATGCTTAAGAGAACACTTATGCACGCAAGCAGCAAGTTTTCTCTCTTTAACTTTCATAATAGGTCATCAACCACCAAGGTCCACATGCGTAGAGATAAAACTCCTTCCTGCGGGCATCCCTTGTTAACTGAGACTTTTCTTGTTGTATTAAAGAGATTGCGGGTAATGGTTCCAGGAATAAGAATTAACTCAACTCACTTCTAGATGCGGTGTACTACGCCACGCCTGTGCTTAGATCCCAGTATTGAATTGTATGAAGCTGAATCAAAGACTACTTCTATATCTAGGAAAACTCCCAATGATATTTCTTTGCTTTCCAATGCTTGTTTAGCCTTTTGAGCTAGCCTATGTATTGCTGCATCGCAAGACTTTCCAGATTGGTAGGGCAAACTGGTATCGATGTATTGGTTTATCCCTTAGAACATCGTTCCGTATATATCTATCGATCAGTTTCTTTAATGTTTTTAGGAGAAATGATGGTTAGGCTGATTGGTATGACATATTTGGTCTCCGCTTTCCCGGGTTTGGGAATGAAGACAACTCTTGCACACCTCCAACTTTGTGGAACATATCCGAGGGCTATGCTAGTTTAGAATAGTTTACACAGTGGTCTCTCCAGTACTTCCTGGCTCTTTTGTAGAAGTGCCGGCATTATACCATCAGGTCCAGCCTATATCATTAGACTGTCTAATAATTATGAATAATAATTTAATAATAAGTATCAAACATATTTTCTCACCTACATAACTATAATACCTATTATAATACTATTTTTTGTTACAAAAAATCCACTACAGATGTAGCAACGATTGCCACTTATTTTTTTTTAAATTTCAAATAGTAATAAAAAAAATAAAACGATGTCAATAAATTAATGATTTTTTTGATCACATAAATAAATAGGTAATAAGTAAGTGTATCTAATATTTAGAATAAGTATTAATTAGTCTAAAACTAGGATTATAATAAGATATTGCAGATATAGCCTTAAAAAAAGTTTCGGTTTCTGATTCTGTTTCGGCCGAAACTAAGAAAGGAGCCGAAATTCGGTTTGTGTTTCGGTTATAAAACCTTGTTTCGATCGGACACTACAATTTCCACTACTCAAATAATTTTATCTATAAAATGCTGACGGTTAACCTTTACTACATAATAAATAGTCCAGTTATGGGTAAGTTATGTGCTAATCGAATCGTTCATGTTTCAGGAATATGTGGAATGTTTGGCGAACAGTATTGGAAGAGAACGAGAAATTGGCGAGAGCAAGACTGGCGGCCGTCGAAGTATTTCAGCAGCAAATTGCTGACGATGCCAAAATACTGAGGGCGCATAAAATACAAACAGCCAAAAAGGTGAGTCTGTAGATTCGTTTCATATGTTTATCTAATGAGAAAATGATAATTATGAAAGTTTCGTAGACGATATGAGCAAATTAATGAAGTCAAGTTTCATTTGAATAGTTTTCAATATACAGGATTGTTAAAAATATATAGGTTCTCTGTTATCAGTAAAAATAAATAATTAATAAATTATAGATGACACTGTAAAAAATTCCAAACAAGCTGATACCCCCGTACTTCTACTTTTTATAGTTATTAGACAAAAAAGAACAAAAACTCTCAAATCATGTTTTATATCTTTTCTAAAAAATAGAATCTAAACAGTTTGACACAAAATGACAATGGGTACTAAGCCTTAGAGAATATAAGGGTAATAAAGAGACTGACTTACTAGCCCAAGAAGGAGCCTCAAAGGTTATTGGCTAAGAACTCTTCTGTTTTGTTAAAGACAGCTATTAGAACAAGCAGAAAGCAGTGGATGGGAAAAATCTTGGGACTGGTGGACAATTCACCAGGACAAGAGACAGGCCAAAGAGTTCTTGAAAGGACCATAGTCAAAACATACCGAGCATTTATTAAATCATAAAAGAAAAAATACTACCGTACTAGTACGCCTCTTAACAGGGCGTTGTGGGCTTAACTTACATATGTATAATAACGTCGGTGTCACAGAAGACACGTTGTACCAATTTTGTCAGGAAGAGGAGAAAACTGCAGTACAAATATTGTCCTACTGCAAATGTCTATCAAGACTGAGATTCCTTACCCTTACAATTAAAGAAAAAAAACCACGGGCAACTAGCTTCGGCGAAAAGCTTATTCCTATAGTCTACGAAGTCTACTACAAAAGACCAAACTAGATAAGATACTCTAACCAACGATTAAAGGATATCCACAATAGATATGAAAATGTCCTAACGAAATCTAATCTAACCTAACCTAACTTTTTTGGCACACCATAAGACTTCCATCCAAAAATTTTTCAAGCTGAAGGCCAAATTTGAGAGGGAAAGATCTAAAACAGAAATTTTTGTCCATATCATTGGCTCTCGGCTTATCAGCGGAAGAGAAGACTCAAATATTTTAGGTGGCCCATATTATAATTATTGATACACGAAAAAGCTACGTCCATCTTCGTTATCATTGGTCCGATTCGAATGAGACAAACGGCACTCAACTTAAAATAATAACTGTTTAGAGTTTAGATAGATACCAATAGTAGCAAAAAGTGGCACGTCGTGTTTTTTGCTTGCTATTTTTAGTTAGGTACAGAGGAAGAGGGGTAAACAACATGTGTATTATGTCTCAAGTGGTGGGAGCGGTTATGTGACCTGTGAAATTCAAAGTAAAGTTTCTTGATGGATTTTTCGTTTTTATACTTCAATAACAATAAAAAATCTCTTTGTATGCATTTTCTGTGGTCCGGTGTTGCAACTTCCTGTTTTATGGATTTCGGCCACATGACCGAATATTTCTATTTTTCAAGGAAATTCTGGATATAGTTTCAACGCGTTTTTTCTGAATCTTTATGTTGAGTTTATTTTTCCTTATTTTGTAAAAAGGGCACAAATTACCCGCCTATTAAAAATACTGTCAATGTGAATTTTAAGAATTTTGTCAGTAATAACGTCGAAAATATATATCGCACAGCATTTTTGTTATTTCTCAGCAATTATTTCTCGTCATAAAATTGGTCCTGGCACGTTTACCATGTTCCTTGTTATTAATTAAATTTTTAAGCTCTACAAAATGATTCTGTGCGCCCACAAAATTTGAGCCATTATCTGAGAATATCTCTTTTGGTTTTCCACGTCTGGCTATAAACCGTTTTAAGGCATTTAGAAACCCATCCGTAGTCAAATCCATTACTAGTTCTATGTGCACAGCTCGGACAACTAAACAAACAAATATACATATGTAAGACTTAACCAACTTACTCTGACGTAAAGTCCCTTCTTTTATTAATATTGGGCCTGCATAATCTACCCCACAACTTGAAAATGGTCTAGAAGGGTTGACTCTAGCACTAGGAAGATCCCCCATTAAATATTTGCTAGGTTTCGGATTTGCTTTAAAGCATATAATGCACTCCCGCAAAATTTCCTAGTGCTAGAGTCAACCCTTCTAGACCATTTTCAAGTTGTGGGGTAGATTATGCAGGCCCAATATTAATAAAAGAAGGGACTTTACGTCAGAGTAAGTTGGTTAAGTCTTACATATGTATATTTGTTTGTTTAGTTGTCCGAGCTGTGCACATAGAACTAGTAATGGATTTGACTACGGATGGGTTTCTAAATGCCTTAAAACGGTTTATAGCCAGACGTGGAAAACCAAAAGAGATATTCTCAGATAATGGCTCAAATTTTGTGGGCGCACACAATCATTTTGTAGAGCTTAAAAATTTAATTAATAACAAGGAACATGGTAAACGTGTCACCGAATTTTTATCAACAGATGAAATTCAGTGGCATTTTATCCCTGCACGGTCGCCGCATTTTGGAGGCATGTGGGAAGCAGCTGTAAAAACCGCAAAATTTCATTTACGACGGGTTCTCGGTAATCATACTTTGAGATATGATGAGCTTTATACGGTACTTACCCAAATCGAAGCCTGTTTAAATTCTCGTCCGCTCCTACCTTTGTCCAATGACCCAAACGACTATCTGGCTCTGACCCCGTCTCATTTTTTAATTGGCGATTCCTTAGCCGCATCTCCACAAGAAGAGTTACTTGGTGTAAATATTAACGTTCTAACAAGATACCAAGCAGCACAAAAAATGGTTCAACATTTTTGGAAATCTTGGAGTCAAGAATATCTTTCACAGTTACAAATTCGAAGGAAATGGGCAACTCATGAACCGATGCAGTTAAAAGTCGGCTCTTTAGTAATCTTAATTGAAGAAAATCAACCGCCATTAAAGTGGTCAATGGCCAGAATAACTTCACTCCATCCCGGAACAGACAACATTGTGAGGGTCGTGTCCATTAAACTGTCAAACGGGAATATAGTGAAAAGATCCGTTGCAAAGATTTGTTTATTTCCAAGCGAGGAATTGCAGTGAATAATTTTAGATTTTAGTTACTGTTTTTAAAATTTGAAAGGCATACCTTTCAAGGTGGCCGGCTTTATGTTGAGTTTATTTTTCCTTATTTTGTAAAAAGGGCACAAATTACCCGCCTATTAAAAATACTGTCAATGTGAATTTTAAGAATTTTGTAAGTTGTCAGTAATAACGTCGAAAATATATATCGCACAGCATTTTTGTTATTTCTCAGCAATTATTTCTCGTCACTAAGATGATATTGCAAGGATTTTGTTGGTCGACAAAAGTGTTGATATAAAAAAAAACAAAGCGGACCTGTTTTTGAAATAAGTGCAAAATCGGATACAAAATCGAAAAATGGTTTAATTGTTCTAAAAATGTTTGTATTAACCGCAGCCTTTTTTATGTTGTGATCCCGTAAATCAAGTAAATTGCAGCGACTATTTTGATATTTTGTTTTCTCAAAAATCCGGGACGAATAAAAGGCTGAATGTGGTAGAACTACTGAATAAAAAAAGCTCAAAGGCACTACTGTTATTTAAGAGTCATGCAAACATTTTGAGAGCAATTAAATCACTTCTCGTCTTTAGATACCGATTTTAAACCTATTTCAAAAACAGGTTACTTTTCGCCAAGTTGCAACTTTTTTTTACATATCAATCCTTTCGCTGACACAAAATAATGCTTACAATACCATCTTAGATTCAGAAAAAACGCGTTTAACCTATATCTCGAATTTTCTTGAAAATCGTAAATATCCGGTCACGTGGCCGAAATTATTACACCGGAAGTAGCAAAACTGGACGACAGAAAATGCTTACAAATGGAGCGTTTTATTATTGTTGACGTTTACATTTACAAGCATATATTTCATTGCCGAAAAAAAAAACGAAAAATCCATCGGTAAGTTTACTTACTTACTTAAAAATCTTTATTTACATATAAAGTGGTATGTACGTATCAAAAATAAAAATCATACATCGACACTACTGGGTTTTCGTACGATCGTGCGGGCTCTAGGGACCAATCCGCCTATAAAACCTATTTTTGATTAAATATTTGTGAATATTGCAGCCCTCACTCCTTACCAAAGCGGTATTATTAAGGGATTATGATTATTTTTGCCACAAAAAACAGGGTTGTCCGTGTATATCGATAAGCAACTTTATTTTGAATTTCACAGGTCACATGAAAGCTTCCACCACCGAGACATAGTACATGTTGTTCACCACCCTCCCCTGTACTCAACTACAAATAGAACTTAAAAAATACGTATCCCTTTTTACAGTCTGATGAAGGTCAAAAGTTGTAATAAAAGTAGATAAAGCATGAATTTAGGGTTGACGACAATACGTGGTTTTGTTGCAATGTCGCATTATTTTGGGTAGATCTAAAGAGCAAGAGTACACAAAAAGGTAAAAATGACGCTGAGGAGAGCGTGGTTCACAGGGTAGAGTACTCTGTTTTGTTCTTTGTTTTAAATTAGGGACGAAATTTGGCAAAAAGTGAGCTATTTTAATTGGCACTATCAAAAAAAGGGCGATGATTAAAAAACTGGTGATGACGTCATATCTTGAATAGAGAAGAAGTCATAAAAAACTTACGTACATCAAATATGAAAATCTAAAAAAAAACAGACATGCCCAAAAATGTTTTTGTTACTTGCCCAATAAAGCCAGAAATCGGGTGTTTCTTCCATCTTACCAAACCCTGTATATTTAAAAAAAGGAAATAATTTCGACTCAAATGTTAAATAAATAAACGCAAAGCCATATGTCCAAAAACATTGCAAGATAATCTAGAAAGCGCCAACATGCTGATCAGGACCGGCTTAGGTTGAGTGTTTGTTCAAATGTTAAAGATAATTTTTAAAATTTGATTTCTACAAAGATCCGTTTGCAGTCTAAATTACATTGAAAAAATATAATACGCTGAGAACTTGTATTAAAATTTAAAAAAAATAACAGA